GACGCTACTAGTAGCTCCTGGCATTACTGCTAGGAGCAAGAAGCTACAAGTAACAAGGGCATTACTACTAGCAAGGACGCTACTAGTAGCTCCTGGCCCTACTACTAGGAGCAAGAAGCAACTAGTAACAAAGAGCATTTCTACTAGGAGCAAGGACGCTACTAGTAGCTCCTGGCCTTACTACTAGGAAGAAGAAGAAGCTACTAGTAACAAAGGGCATTTATACTGGGAGCAAGGGCTCTACTAGTAGCTCCTGGCCTTACTACTAGGACCAAGAAGCTACGAGTAACAAAGGGCATTTCTACTAGGGGCAAGGATGCTACTAGCAGGCATCTGGCCTTACTACTAGGAACAAGAAGCTACTAGCAACAAAGGACATTTCTACTAGGAGCAAGGGCGCTAGCTTTGAAGACATTGTTGTAGCTCCTTGCTGTGTGGAGTAGCTGGATCTCTGCACTTTTGGTCGAAGAGTGAAATCGTTTTCAGGCATATACATTTCTAGAGACAGGTAACACATGACTGTATATATATATAGAATATATATATATATACATACACATTATCTTTCACCAATTGGAAACACAAGGCCACAACGTAAGCAGTGCTTGGAATCCCTTGCTGTATTGTGACCCTTGTACAAGTTGTGACTCTTCCCTTTTCGAGTGAGTTTGCTGACAGCTTTTCTTCGAAAAAAGACAGAGTTTCCGTACTCCAGGATCCAACTACCAAGGATTTGCCTGGGCCTGGTCGTGAGGCCGTCTAATGGGTTTGCAGGTTTGGGAACAGTATGTCCAGGCATGAGTCAAGCACAACATTAGTGCAAACAGAGTGTGCAGAATGCAAGATGCAACTGCACTACACTTTGCATGATCACTGAGTGTTTTTGCAATTTACTCCTTCGGCGTGGGGCAGTTTTTGAACCACAAAGAATCTTTCTTGCAAAGAGACCTATCAATGAACAGGGCAACTTGAAACCGCTGATCCGACAGGCAAAAAGTGCCAGCGATGGTGACTTGGGCAATGCCTTGCGATCACTCAAGACACAAGGCTCCTTTGGCTCCGAGCAAAAATAATGGTGTACTGTCTGAGCCTGGCTTCATGTGCTCATGCTGTTCTGAAAAATGCCACGGCAGGACCAGCTGAAACTCTTGAGTTAAATGGCTTTTGCTGCTGGAACCTACCATTTCTAAGTATCAAGATCACACTTTGTTCCAAAATCTCTCAGCCATGTGCGGTACTAGATTGGTTCCGACATGTATCGACTGTTCTCAGGAAAAGTTTCAAGGGTGAGAGCAAACCAGTCATGCGTATTTGCTGATTTGGAACATTTCGGAAGTGCAGCCAGGCCGATTACATCGAGCTGCTGTGCATGACAAGCAGGGCACCAGAGAGTATGTTGAACTTGAAGATCAAATACTCCCAATAGGTTTAAAAATATCATGTTCCACACTGTGTGGCCATGCCGTGTTTTCTTTTCTGGCAAGATTCCAGAGGTTCTGCTACGGTGCTGATGCTACTGGTGGTGAGGCCAGAACAACATATCACAACAGTTTTGTTGCATTCTTGTGTTTTTTACTTGTAACAAAGAAGCTACTAGGAACAAGTGCCACGCTGCTAGAAACAAGTGCCTTACTAGTAGTAACAAGAAGTACAAACCGATCAATTCGTGCAGATATCCTCTCAGAGGTGATCAAAGGTGCTGGCGCTGTGCCTACTTGCAGTGGTGTATGGACCTCCGATATGCAGCTTGGACCATGCAAGTGCCTTTCCCTTTCAGTGCCTTTGGGTGCCTTTTTAGTGTGTCAGCTTTGCTTAGAATCTTGAGGTCGGAGCTGGTCAAGTTCCACAACCGCTCAGTGCGGCACATCAAGCCGTGATGATCTTGTGACAAGCTCCACTGGGGCAGTTGATGTATGTTTATTGTCTGAGAGTGCCACTCCTTTTGTGACAATGGTCTTGTTGTCAGCGAGCAAGGTCCAAACTGGCCCTCATCCCAGTGGAAGATAAGAAGAAAAAGAAAAAGAAGAAGGCCACGCTTCGGGGCAAATTTCTCCAACGTGTTGCAAGTGACATGTGGAACGGAACATGAGGTATTGAATAGATGGTTTGTCACACAAACTGCCCAGTGGCTCGACATAGAGGATTCAGCTCGAGCACCTTTGTGGGCAACCTGGATTTGGTACAGACCTGCACTGATGCAGGTCGATGAAGATGAGCTGTGCATGAGCGAGCGTGAGTTGTATGAGGCACCCTTGTTCAGCCTGTTTTAGAAAAGGAAGAGGAAGAGAGTCTAAAAGAAGACAGCATACAGTAATAGCAAGGGGTGAGAAGGACCTCTTTGATAAGGCCTTTATTGAAGAGCCCCTTATCCTTCTTTCGACCTCTCAACATCTAAAGACCAAAGCAAGAACGCTTTTCTAGTCCAGGGGGAGAGCTTGCTCCCTTCTTTACTCCCTTGAACCCCGAGCTTTTCTGCTTTTTCTAGCCGCTAGCTAGACTGAAGCTAGCCTAAGTAGCTTCCCTGCTCGTCCAGTCAGCTACCTCTCAGCGGCCAACCCCGAAGAAACGAGCTTCGCTATTATGAGACCTCGGTGCGCTTTTTCTGCACATTTTCCTGAAACTTGAGACCTCAAACTGTGGTGAGGCCGACCAGTCCTACCGCAACATCAGGAAACTCAGGCCAACTCAATCATGAGAGATTTCATGTAGTGCGGAAGATAGCGCTGATTGAAATCCAGGCGAGCATTCTACCCCGACTCATTCGAGAGGGAGAAGACCCACCGGCATGTGTTGTCACATAGAGCTGTGCACAAACACACACACTTAGGATAGGGTGTACTGAACTGAAAGCGGTGCCACACGCCGGCCTAGGGTTCCATTTCCTAAGGGTACCAGTACGAACCACGGGAACCTGGA